CGTGTTTTTTTTTTTTTGTTTTTTTTTTTTTCATTTTAGTACCCACTGTCTATATATGAAAAAGGAAAAAGAAATTTAACTTAGTCGAGGTGCAGGGAACTTTGGAAGACAAAGCTTTAATTGTAATAACCGACCTTCACGAACTTAATCATACGTACCGTACCATTAGCGGTGGCTTTAGTATAGATTCATTGAAGATGGAGGCAGAAGAAGCACAGGGATTGGTCCGTTTTGTCCCTTCTCCGTAGAAGACACAGCAAAATTATGAGAATCACACCTATCCCATGTGTTATAATTATAAAGGTGTTTCATTTAAAATATGGATGCCTACTTTTTTTGATGACGAAGATGTGACAAGATGACTACGTCACAGAATACCAAACACTTCATAGTACCTTAACATGTTAAATAATTTTTTTTAATCAATTGGGATGGGAATTTTTTTTTATTAAGTTAAACTTTCTTTCCTTGGAAATGTTTTTGAAGGTTTTGAAAAACTGTTTTATTTTTAGTTTTGAAACTATTAAAAACATTTATCAACCTGTATGTAAATAAGTTCAACACTTAAAAGAAATTTTTGAAAAAAAATTGTTATTATAAATAATTTAATATATATATTTTTAGTTAAAGATCATGATTTAATTTTTTATTTAAACATTGAGTCATGATTAAATATGTTAGTTTATTTTTTGTAAAGATTGATCTCATAAGAAAAAAATTATATCTCAATATTATAAAATATATAAATAAATAACTTCTGGACCTCTCTCTATTCTTCTCTTAATATAAAAAGATTGATCTCATAAGAAAAAATTATATCTCAATAGTATAAAATATAAAATATATAAATAAATAACTTCTAGACCTCTCTATTCTACTAGAGGTATATTAATAGGAGTGGATCATAGTAGTATACAATTGAATATTGAGTCTATTTCAAATTAGGCATCCATTATGATGAAAAGGGCAAGTATGGGTACATTCTCCCCAAAGCATTCAAGCAAGGATGGTGTTAGATCCATTAGTTTGCCAACTAGATCACATCCAAGCACAGTTAGAATTGAAGAGGAGTTGAACAAGCTTAAATCATGGGAGACATCATCATCGTTTACATCAAGGGTGGGAACAATTTGCTTTGGTCTATCTGGCCTTGCAGAATTGTACAAATGCATAGAAGATCTTCTAAAATTGCCATTGACCCAACAAGCACTATGCCAGCACCAAAATGAGAAATGGGTCAATGAGTTGCTAGATTTCCCATTAGGATTCTTGGACCTATTGGGCAAAACAAGGGATGCTATTCTGTTAATGAAAGCAAGTATTGAAGAACTTCAGTCTGCACTTAGAAGAAGAAGGGTTGGAGATTTAGACATGGAGAGCCAGTATTGGAGCCTCAGAAGAAACATGAGAAAGGAATGCACAAAATTTTTGCTTTTGTTGAAGCAGATGGATCATGAGTCATTTGGGGCCTCTCCTCCAATGGATCTTAATGACCATTTGATTGCAGTGGTGAGAGTGGTGAGAGAAGCTAGTTGGATCACCAGCTCCATATTTCAGTCACTTGTTGTGTTCCTTTCTTCACCAACCTTGAAACTAAAGCCTAATAAGTGGGTATTTGTCTCAAGGTTGATGCAGAAGGGGGTGTTTGCTTGCAACAATCATCAGGGAAATATAAATGAGTTGGAGAAGGTGGATTTTGCTCTCAACAGTTTGGTTGTGGACAATCTGAGCAAAGATGCTGAGGCTGAGAAGATTCAATCTGCACATGGAAGGTTAGAAGCTTTGGTGGTGGCCATTGAAGAGATTGAAAATGGATTGGAATGTTTGTTTAAGCGTTTAATTAATACTAGAGTATCTTTTCTCAATATATTTTCTCCTTAGGTAGAATATAGCAAGCATGTGTAGATGAGAACTCAGAGCCAATTAAGGCCTTGTGCTGCTGGCATTTCCAATGTACAAATTAATAGAGTTGTCAAACATGTAACATGTACATTCTGGTTGTTCTTCTTTAACTTTTATATCTCTCCTTTCTTATTTCAATCCTTTACCAGAATTCCATCATCTTTTATTTGTTAAAATCATAGAATATTTGAATCTTTTTGAACGGTGGCCTCAAATTCTGTCATTTCAGTTAAGCACTGTCATTAACTCTTAAATATTGAATTAACCATTTGATCAATAAATAAGTAATTACTGGGCATAACAATAACTCTTCGGTAGGGGAAGAGGGAAGTAATTCTTTAAATTCTTAAAATAGAGACTCATTTGTACTATTAGTTGGCAAATAAAGACACATCCTCCCAATTATATTCTTTGCTTGCAACACGGGAGGGCTTTTCCAATTTTTATTTAACAAAGATGCATATCTCATTCTCGAAGAGTCTTATAAAAACAATATTTTACTTATAGTTGTGATTATGTCTAAATTGACATTATTTAAAGAATACAAGTATTAAAATAGATTATGTTTTTGATGTTTTTTCACTCTTTCAATCATTGCATATGTATTCCCCATTGGGGAAAAAGAATACCGAAACATATGGGTTTGTCATTCCAAGGCTCCATCAAATCAATAAATGAACTATGTAGTCAATTGTGAACACAAATTTGTAGTGTATAGCTCAAGTGGGGAACTTAGACAGTGCGACATGACTCCAAAATTGGTTGAAGTAACTAATTTAACTGGTTACCTAACTAAAGATGATTCTAGTAATAACGTGAGTGAGACAATTGGCAACAAAAGCATAGCAGAACACCTAGGAGCATGAAGTACGTGATACAAAAAATATTAATAAGGAAGTTGGTGAGGGGTGGAGGGGTTATGATAAGAGCAATGACGCACTAATGAGTATGGAATTTTGATTTTTGTCCGTTGCTATATTCAACCCAAAACTAGTGTTGAAAAATTGATTGTACCTTCAATGAATATGATTGTAAGTTTTTGTATTTTAAGATTATTTCAAAAGTCTCAAGTTTCATGTTGTTTGGTCTTACATTGTTTAAGATGCTTATATTTATTTATCAAAGTCTTCTAAAAAATTATGAAATCGGAAGTAAAGAGGCATGCGCCGGCGCAATTAAGTCAAGCTAAATAAAATTCAAGAAAGTTACAGCACGAGAATTGTATTCTGGGGATTTTAGATTTTTAAATCTTATTGTTGAAAATCTTATTAGAGTACTTTATTGTTGTTCAGTGAACTGAACATAAATAGTCTAAACATTTTCTTCTTCTTTTGAACACGGGTATGCTTACATTAATGTCTCTTTTTTTCTTTTTTCTTTTTTTTCCGCTGGAAATATAACCCATACTTAAGTTAATAGTAGAGATTTTGATATTTACACTTCCCTTCATTAACAGGTATACCTTCCTTTTAATTTTTATTTATATTTTTTCTATTACTAAAATATATTATTTTATACAAAAATAATTTAAATTCTATTTTTATGTTCCATATTTATTATTGTTTAAATCCTATTTTTCACCCTTCAATTTTTTTTCTTCTATTTTTACATCACACATTGTCATTATTTTTTAATTTTTTTTTATATCTCCTACATTATTTAAACTAGGGTAAATGAGAAGGTACTCCCTACGCTATTAAATAAAAAATATAAAAATAATAAGATAAAAAATATTAAAAATAATATGATGAGAGAGAGAGAGAGCATAGTAGAAGTTTAAATTTGGTTATATGGGACATGGACAGTTACATAGTTAAAATGTTGAGTAAGAAGCGGGATAAGTTTAAGAAGGAAAAAGGAAACAACAATACCAAAAGAAAACAAAATAAAAAAGATAAAAGGGTATTTTGGTTTAACTAAATGTGAAAATCGAAAGTATTATTATAAGGGATATTTCCTTTTTATATAATTGTATACAAGTATATATAAACTTTATTTTGTATCTATTACCTTCATCATTTAAATTAGGATAAATGAGACACTCTGTTGCAATTAAATAAAAAAAAAAAAAAAAAGATAAAAATATTCAAATAATAAGATGGGAAAGAGAGACCGTCGAGGAAGTTTTAATTTGTTACATAGGACATAGATAATTACATAGTTAAAATATTAAGTAAAAAATGAGATAAGTTTAAGCAAGAAAAGAGATAACAATACAAAAATAAAGAAAAAAATGAAAAAGATTAATTATTATATTAAAAATATTTTAGTCTAACTATATGGAAACCAAAAATAGTTATATATGGAGTATTTTCTTTATAATAGTATAAAACTATTTTTGTATTCTCGTTATTATTACTTGTTATTATTATTTAAATTTTTTACATCTATTTTTTATTCTCTCTTTTTTCTCTATAAATATAATTTTACTAATATTTCTTTTCCTAAATTGAATATATGTACAAATTAATATATTAAAATATGTTTTCCATTGCAGGTGATAGTTTATAATTTCGTAATAATCATTCACAACGATTTACTTTATTTTTAATTACAACTATTTACGTTCTATAGCATTGCATTCTCAAGGTACATTGCAACTTGTGTAGGTTTTTAATGCTATCAAAAATTATATAGAGAAGTAACAATGTGTGTTTTAGGTATTTTAATTTAATTATATGTGTAATGTATAATTAAATTGTAAGTGTTATTAGTACTGTTATTTTAGAATTTTATGAGGGTCAAGAAGTCTTTGAGAATTAAGTTGTTCTTGAGTTAATTTTAGTTAGATAGTTTAGTTAGCTAGAATAAGCTTATATAAGATTATTTTTTAAGATATGTATCTCATAAGTTCATATTTTAAGAAAATTAGAAAGGAGCTAAAAAGAAAGTCTTTGGAGCTTGAGAAAATCTTTTCACCAACCCATTCCTTTGATTCATCTCAAACCTTTCCTACAGCTGATTGAAGTTGGTAGATTGATGATTCAAAGCTTGTAGAGTCAAGAATACCAAGTTAGAACTGTGTGCAGATTTTGCTTCTTCTTCCTCTTCTCTTCTCTTTGGAGCAACTAGAGGTATGAGAAACTTGTGCTTCAATCATTGATGGATTTTGATGCTCGTTGGTTTTTTATATTCATCTCATGTATTTTCAATTGCTTAGAGACATAAGCTATTACCTTTTCCTCTTGCATCAACACTCCTCCCAAATCCAACTTAGAAGCATCATAATATACCACAAAAAACTTATTACTAAGATTAGGTAATATTAACACTGACACACTAGTCAATCTTTACTTAAGAGTTTGGAAACTACTCTCACACTTACTATCTCACACAAATGTAACTCCCTTCCTAATCAATCTAGTCAAAGGTAATACTATTATAGAAAATTCCTCGATAAATCTCTTATAATAATCAACTAACCCAAGGAAACTCCTAACCTCACTAACTGACTTAACTATCTGCTACTTAAGCATAACTTCTACCTTAGATGGACCTACCGCTATACTTTCAAGTGTTCCTCATGCTCCTCTCCAGTCTTGGAATAAACTAGTATGTCGTCTATAAATACAACTATGAATTTATCCAAGTATGGATGAAAAATTTGATTCATATAATTCCTAGAAATAGTTGGAGCATTCGTCACACCAAAAAGCATTACTAAATACTCATAGTACCCAAAATGTCTCCTAAAAGTTATCTTGGGTAAATCCTCACCCTTCATTCTAATTCGGTGATATTCCAACCTAAGATCAATCTTGTTAAACACACAAGTACCCACTAAGTGATCCATAAGGTTATCTATTCTCTGTAAATAACTAATTTTATCTGGACCCACAAAAACAATGAAATGGACGTCTACTATAAAAAGGAAGAGCTCTCAAAGTATGGAGGCAACACCATATGACAACAAGGAAGCTTGAAGCCTAAACAAGTTAGTTTTAGAAGCCCAAAACGGGCGGTTCTAAAACTGAAACGAGCCGTTCCCAAGTCGGAACGGGCCGTTCCTAAATTGGAATGGGTTGTTCTAGGTTACTAAAAAAGGACCTAAAACCCTAATTTAGAATGAGCCATTTTGACTTTAGAACGGTCCATTCTGACTTTAGAACGGGTTGTTCCAGGTTATAAAAAAGACCTAAAATCCTAATTGAGAACGGACCGTTCTGCCTTTAGAATGGGTCGTTCCAAGTTCAAATTTAGCTTATAACTGAACAATTCAGAACGGGTCGTTCTGAATCTGGAACAAGTCGTTCTAGTTAGGTCTGAAATCTATAAATAGCACACTCGGGCACAGTTCTCGGGGTAGAAAAAAAAGACGGAAAGAAAAGCGCGAAAAAAAGCAGCGAGAAAAATTGGTCTAAGCTTCCTTACAGCTCGAAAATCCTCTTTCTTTCTCTCTCTTTGTCATTTTTGAGTTCTACGAGGTATTTGTGTAGTGTGAAAGGTAACCAAAAAGCACCTAATAGATCATCATATTTGAAGATTCAACACGATAACAAGTTCAACAATTCATCCGCCTCACCTTTGTTAACATATTCTTTTCTTAACCTTTTTTTGATTTGTTGAAAATAATTGTATGTACAGAGTGAATGTGATTTTTTGTCTTCAAGATCATTGTTTAGAAAGTGTTTAATATATAACAAATAACAACGTCAATTGAATAACATTTTTATCTTTGACATTATTTGATTTTGAGGGTTTAATGATTAGCCATTTGCTAACTTAAATTCTTATACAAGTTTCCCTTTTTTTAAGAAAAAAGGAAGAATAAAAGAGTTTTATTTCACATATAAATTACCTTCTCATATGCAACAATTTATGATGTTAATTGAGTAGCGTTTCTACCTTTAATATCAATGTAAATCATATATTATTAGGGTAAAATAAATATTTATGAATTTATATAATTTTGCACAATTAATTAAAGATACTGTTTTTACAGGCGTCGTAGGGTGCTAATACCTTCCCTACAGACTTCTGAACTCAATTTTGATTTTAAAAGATTATTTTTAAAGAGTTTTCCAATGTTTTTCCCTTAAAATGGGGCTACATTGAAAAGAAAATGTTTGCGTCGTCCCGTCGCGATTCCGGTTACGACATTCTCATATCA